GTACTGCTTATTGTACAGAGGTGTTACAGTTGTAAAGTGTCTCCCTCAGATAACCAGCGAGGCAGTGGTGATGCCTTCTCACAAAGGACGGGGGGGTAGAAAAAGTCTCCCCTAAAAACGCACACTTTGCCTTATCCGACGGTAAGGTCACAACAAGTATGGAGCTAATACGAAAAGGTCGTGTATGTCCGGCCTCAAGCAGTTGTGTTTTGGGCACTGCGGTGACGCGCTCAGGTCACTAGGACCAACTCTAACCCTATTTCTTTTTCAGGTACCTCTAGAAGAACTCTCACGGTGTGGGCAACTGGGAAGTGATAACGCCCTCACACCTCTAACAGCACTCCAGGTCACTGTATTCATAATCCCTCTTCAATTCCTATTATTCCTTCTGCCTCGACATTCAACTCTAAACTTCTTCCTCAAGTGTCACCATGGACGACGACTAGTGCGCGAAACACTGTCCCGCGTCTACTGAAACCTTGCTTAAAACTACACACCAGAGCCTTCAACGTATGTCAAGGCGGCCGGCTGGCCTCCTTGACTGAAATCCTAGAATCTCGTACCATTAATGTATGTTGTGTCTACGAAACACGCATGCAGGATCCTAGTGTGATCATTCACTTGACCTCATCTAGCCAAGACGAGGAGTCGACAAGATACATTCTCCGTTTATTTAACGATCCGATGGCAAGCTCTCGTGGGCTGGCAAGCACTTCAAAAATTGGATCCTGTTAATAGTCGCCTATGTGCTGTTTGGCTAAACGTTTCCTTAAAAACTCGGGAGGATAGGGATACAAGTCGTTGCCTTTTCATCATTCCTGCCTACACTCCCACTGACTTCAGCTTGAATGAAATGAAAGACGAATTTTACAGAAAGCTTTTTGAGCTACTGTAGATTTTCTCATTATTTTCATTTGTGAGTATACGTTCTAAGTATCCATCATTCTTTTTTCTTTTCACTTCGTTATTTTTTACGTTCTGTTTGTTACCCTACATTTAGACTGTCACTCAACAACTGCAAACCTCCATACATGATAGTGAAAAGCCAACAAAAGTTGTTAATTCGCTTGGCAAATGTAAAAATAACCCGAAAGTACGTGGTAAGAATCAACGCATTAAACGGTGAAATGCCTAGTGATACGAAGACTCATTTATTTGCTTTCAAACTAAGCTTTTGAACGCCGTATATTTTACTCATGTTTTAATATCCTTGTACATTCTTTGAGTATCTCCGTTACTAATAATTATCGATTTATTCTATGACATTAATTGTTTCATTCAAATATAATTTTCTGTCTTCAATAAAATTTGTTGAACTTAAACGTGTAATCATTTCTCTCCTTTAATGACTGAGGTTGGGTTATTGTACGCACTTTTATTTTACGTAAATACTGGATTTTGAATCCTGGGATTGTTAAACAAACTAATATTCCTGTGATTTTCCGAAGTGACATCAAAAGAAGTTTAAATTTCCAAAAAGGACTGGCAGTACTTCATTAAAGTTAAACTATATGGCTGTTAGAAGTCCATGTTGGAAATAAGAATTCGTCGGGAGCTATTGAACATGTTGTACATTAGACTTAGTTTCCCATTTAATCAGAAAAGCGTGGTGCACTCCGTGTTAGTGTAAACAAACTTCATTTTTGTTTCCAATTACCGCTTTAATAGGATAATTAGACACAACTCTATACTAACAATTATCATGTGCTCACCAGTGACCAAATTCGAGAGGTTATTATCAGAGTTCTACTGAGAAGCTGTGATCGGGTGTGAGGCAGTACCTCACCGAGGATGGTCACGCAATATTGTGTACTGGTTGGAGCCCCCAAATGCCCTGGTACGGCCGAGAGTCCGCTCTCCCTCTCGAAATGCTCTCACATGGCCACGCGTATATAGCCTCTGTCAGGGAAGTCCTACTCACTGCCTTCTCGTGGCGGAGGTGTTGTTTACGAAAATGAGAGGACGAAAAGCGAATGTCCAGCGCTTTAACCGGATTCCAAACCAATGGTGCACATGGGCTCCAGTATCCTGTGGGAACAAATGGCGTATGAACCAATTGTTGGTCACCGGTTCTCATGGGACGGCATCTCCTTACGATGCTCCACTTCCTTGTGGATCAGACCCTCAGGTCGAAGGCTCGGGGTGTGGCCCTCTAAGAAAACCACCTGCTTTGGTTTGGGCACCCGGGCAGTATCACAGCCCTCAAACATATCAAATGAGATTTGTGTGGCGCATACGTATTTGGTGCCTCCTTGTACCAATATCTATGTGTTGAAATAAATAAATAAACTGGTTGGAGTTAGACGCCGGCTCAGTGGTTTAGAGGTTAAGCTTCCGCTTGAGACCGGAAGTGCGGGATTGTGCATGCAAATTGCTGGGGAGCCCCATGCTAGAACGAAACGGTTGACCAGTGCTTCCAGGTTCTCAATGTTGGTCTAACATTTGTCGACTCATGGTCTCAATCAAAACAATTTATGCCCCATCACATTATTAAAATCCGGCAATGAACGTCCTTGATTCTAGATCTTCCTTACATATGCATTATTGCAATTCTCCATCCTAAAATTATGTTTTCCTTCATAGTGTGTGCCATCAAAGCAATGAACTTTCTTCCCAACTCCGATGGTTCCAGTCTACAGGTACCACGAAAGTTGGCTTTTGTAACCTATTTATGTCGACATAGTACGTAGACTATTTTACATACAGCGGAACACCTAGAAGTCAATCACAAAATGATGCACATTGTTGCTTGCGTTCCTGTCATTGTTTTAACCACTTCTGACAATCTAGTGAAGTAGATACCATTCGGTCGTACTAGACTTTTCGTTATTTACGACAGTCCTGCTCTTGGTCTTTGAAGCTCTTACAATCCGTATGAATATTCTTAATATTTAGAATTTTATGCTGTCGAGTAGATTTTGTGAGCTATGAATTCCGAGTAGTCCTTGAGTCTCCCTAGAATACATCTTTTACGACGAAGTGAAGACTTAACTTGTTTGTTTAGATTCTACTTACATTTAACCACCCAACATAACATCTCGAAATGCGCGCATCCAATCCAACACTTGCATCAGCATCTGAACAGGCTGCGGAAAGAGAATAATCGTTAAGATATACGGGAAATAACTAACCTAAATGCCCATCTTTATACATTTTCGTTCAGTCATACCCGTTAATCCCCACCAACTGGTCAAGTACAGCCTATAAACCCAGTGAAACTGCGAGATTGAGTTTCGTGACTATCTATGTAAATATTCCGAGACGTAATTATTTTGCTGCCATAACGGCATATTGGTTTATCTACACAGAAAAAACTACGTAGACTCTACCAAGTGAATGCGACGTATTATGTCCATCGGAACTAATGTTCTGTAAGTAGGCTCCTAACTAGATACTTTATGTAAGTTACTGAGTGCTTATTATGAGTCTGAAGTTACTATTTGAACGGTACCATACATCCGTACGAAAGTGCGAGACAAGGTTGACGTGAAGAAAGCAGAAACCTGATGCTTATACAATTGAGGTTAATCGGAATGTTCTGAAACTGTTCATATCTGCCCAAAACGACAGTTATCCGAAGGTCAATTATCTTGGTGTTACCTTTTCCTCTGATCTCTCTTGGTCTTCTCGTTTTATTGTTATCGAAGGTTTTCCGTCTGACTTACTACGTAAAGAGACTGCATACTCTTGGGATTACTCGTCATTTACTCTTACAATCTGTCAGTTCTTGCCTATCACCTATTATTTTTTACCGCTCTCCATTATTCTTTCCCAGGCTTTTGAGAAAACATTTTGATGTATTTCTGAGAGTGCAGAAGGCGGTTAGCAAGGTATGTGGCGAATCTTTTCAGGCCATAGTTAATATAGTTGTGGCAGGTGTTATTTTATCAGATAATAACCATCTCTTCACTCATATCTTTCTCCTTGTATATCTACCGGTAGAACGAGACGTAATTACATTGAAATCCAAGCACGCAAGCAAAAGTATAAAAGTTCTTCAATACCTTACCTAGCAAATATACTCTGACGAGCAGGTTGTTAGAGTTAACCTAGTCAATAACCTGCATCCTTAACATGTCTATAATTTGAAAAGTTCTACATTTTTTTCAAACCTTTTTTCTTTTTTGTCTTCGTTTCTGTTTTTTGCGTAAGAACCTTGTTGAAATACCCTGTGCCAAGAATTCTATATTGTACCAAAATATAATATTGAATAAAGCCATTAAAAATTTTTAAAAAAAAGCTAGTTCTAAACTTCTGTACGAAAACACTATCGTGTAATATTATACAAAACGGAATAGTTTCAAGCCAAAGGTCAGTCTATGAGGCAGGACGACACTAAACCATTGTGTGAAGCCCGCTAATTCACAAATCATGCTATACCACACTAGCTATCAACTATTATTTCAACTAACTTAAACAGCTAGGAAGTACACTACAGCATGAATATCTAGTTCCACATTATAAAACTACATATTCTGCCAACTCATCCCATGCAAAATAAAGACTAGTTCATCCAATCAATACAGCTTGTTATATGTTATATGAACGTAACTAACAAATTTTGCAGTACTAGGTTTTGGAAATCAACCCTGAAAATCCTATTGGGAAGTTTAAATGCAGAATAGGCCCGGATATTGTTGGTCCTGTAGAGGTTTCATGATGAACGATTTTCTGAGCGACGAAAGTGAGACAAACTACCAAATAACAATCACCATTTGAGATGACAGGAAGTACGGTGTGACTCTTATCACTCGAATATACACTCTACTGTTAATACATCATGGACAAGATATTAAGACACCCCAGATGACTACTACTGTATGGCTATCAAACTAAGCTCTTATATAACTGAACGGTCAGTCTCGAAGTTGAGTACTCTGACTTGTCTTCAAAACATTTTTTCACATACCTGAACGTCATATATTCGTCCTATTTACTTAACATTTGTCATCCTAATCAGTTCAACAAAATGTAATCTGCAGTCAATGAAAAAGAAAATATATAGCCATCAGAATATATTTAAGCTAGCTTTAACGGTATGATTTCTGGTATCTTGCACGAGCTCCGGAACCGCCAAACTTCTTTGGTTCACACCTTCTTGGGTCAGCAACTAACAAGCTTCTGTCATACTGAACGAACTTCTCCTTAATTATATTTTTAGAACACTCATCGACGTATTTTTGATGGAATGCTACGACTGATTTAGCAATAGCTTGCCTGACAGCATATATCTGAGCCACTCGACCACCACCACTGACCCGAACTCTGATGTCCAAAGTAGATAATCCGTGTTTTCCAAGGAGTAGGATTGGCTCCATTAGTTTGGGTAACAAAGGACGTGGTTCCAGTACATCCAATGGTCTGCCGTTCACTCTGATGGTTCCAGACCCGAGTTTACAATGAGCGACAGCTGTTGCTGTTTTCTATAATACATGAGAGGCCTAAACATATAAATTACCTTCCGCCCAAACACTTGTACTGCCTTAGGTTTCTCTTTCGGTTGGTTGGATACAGTCTGCATTGTAGTGTCTGCGGAACGTGAAGAAACTGCAAGTCGCGCCTTGAATCAAACTAACATGTACAGTACCACGAAAACTGTGCTCAATGAATTTTCTAAAATCCTATAAGGATCTAACATTAACTAAAAAACTTTCATTAAACTGCAAATTTTTATTCAAAAACACGGGTGTGCAAAATACACAAAAATAAAGATAGAATGGTTTTCGATCCCAAGCTTTAATTTTAAAACTTTTTCTCCAGATAATTAGTTTGGAAGTTTTAAGTTCACTAATTCTTGTCTATTTTCGCATTTATTGTTCTCCTCAAATCATACTACTTTATTTCTTCTTTGTTTTCCGTATATCGATCTTGAGGTATTCTGATGCCTCCATCATAGATATTCTGCCTACTCATTTTTAGTCTCAGGATTCCTAAATTGTGTTCTGAAGACTATCACAGGTTTAGTACGCCATTTAAGTTCTTGCAAGCCATGATGGAAACAGGCACATTTGATTGCATTATGCGACTATGACGATCGTTCCCTTGGTCAATATTGTGATTGTAGAATCTCCCAGAAGTTGACTTATGTATATCGCTACTCAGTACTATATACTTTCAACATATATAGTTTTAAGTAGTGACGAGCCGTGTGTGGTCCGGCCATATATTTTCGAAGCCTATTTCGTAAGTGAAATTCAGGCGTCATGAAATCAGAATGACCTTTGAGTGGTGAGATTAGCGATGCTCAAGGACTGTAGTTTTGCATGTTAGTGTTAGCAACAGTACTAATTCGAGGTAAATAATAAGGGGCAAGCCGTATGGATTGTGAGATATTTTACCATTCTGTCTTTACCTATAAATTTTCAGCCTAGACGATCATGACATAATAAATGGGACAGCCAGTAATTTATAAGCATTTTAATCAAGCTATTTGATAATACAATTAGTTGTTGCTGACCGGTGCGGCTTTTTATTAGTATATTTCTGGCCTGTTCGCAGTTGTATAACTCTTTCTTGATCTATTCTAGAGCTAATGCTGGAGACAAGTCCGAATAAGGGATGAAGGCTGGACAAATGTTTTCCACCCCACACCATAAAAACCAAAACAAATAGGTCTCTTAAACTACTCAAAATCCGTTTGTGAAGAAGAAGTTGTAGTGGCATTGGACCATAACCACACAATCCTCAAAGCTGAATACGAGATTACTCGGAAAATAGATATTCAATATTTAACGCGAAGAAATACCTAACGATGGAGAAGGCGCGAACAATGAACTGAAGAAATTGGAGTTGATCGAATGGTGTGGCTCGGCCATGCAGGTGCGGTTCCTCCGAATGTTACTTTATATCTTCTATTTATACCAAATATATTGTTCCTTCTCTAGCCTAACCTTGTTCTACATCATGTAATGGTAGTTGATACGATACAGTGAGTTGGTGTAGTCGATGGTGTGACTTCCACGTAAGATCTTATAGATTAGGCAGTTATATCATGACAAATCTACAATTTTAGGATTGGATCTATCATTAGAGCAGTACTAATATCATAGTAGACTATAGTTCTACATTGGTGTGCCCAGCTAAAGAAACGCAACCTATTATTGTTAATTCTTATATCCACCTTAACCTTCTCAGTCAACTTTTATTTGTTTAAACCCATTATTCTGATTAATGCTTACATGTATTATCGTAATGTTATATTGATCAGTTCTCATGACATCCTAGCTCAGTCGATAAAACCTGGTCGTCTATATAAACTAATTAGCTTCGATGGTTCCTTAACAAGCTTTATTAGCATTTACATGCTTCAGCGACATAGACTTGTTTAAACATCAAGCTCTAGCAAATATGACCTGTAAATAACGTAAATATACATTGGCTAACAATGCCATCAAGGATTGAATAGTTATCTGGATCTAATTCTCAGTGTTCCTCCACTTAACACCTCATCCTGTTTTAAACTATGCACTATCCTGTAATATCTTTTCTTCCGACCACTGCCTGCCTAATTTCATATTCTCGAGTTCCATTGCCAAACAACGAAGAATCACTTCTCCAAAAACATACGGTGATTTCCATCTGTAATCATTTTAGATGGCTCGTTCAATGACAACCACATAATTATTTGGATTCATTCGATTGTTCTGATCCGAGCGAGTAGCAAAAATGTAAACAGCATCAAGCACCCTGGTATTAATTGCCATACTGCATGTTTTATTCTGGATACTTTTGTATCATTACTACTCACGAATGGCGTTATATATGTCGTCCACTGAATAATCAAATTTTCAAAACTTACCCAGGCGAGTTCAACTATTTTACTGGATGATTTTTTTGTACTTAACATGTATGTGTTTTCCAGTTGCTTTTGCCATATATTTGTAAGTGTCCCTAGGCTAAATGCAGTAACTTATGGAATGTTTATAACGCATTATATTCCTGCCTGGAGTTTCATAAGCAGTCTTAGCTTGAAAATTATTTTCTGGTCATGTTCATTATTTCTAAATTGTCATATACGTCAACAACCTGCATGTTACCCTGGCCCGTACATGCGTTGCACTATATCTTCATGTCTTCTAAATTTAGAAATCATTTGAATCACCTTTAACATTCATCAGTAAACCCGTATTTGGGTTTATGGATTGGTTTATCATATTAGCAGCCTCAAATGCGAACATAGTTTACATAATAAGATTAAAAATTTAGGTACTATCAACTGCACTAGTAAAATAACTAAATCCCTGAGTAGCTGTTGGCTAAACAAACGTTTAAAATCAAAACTCCGTAGCCTACTAGCATTAACACTAAACGAATATTTCTGAATTGAAATTTATAATTAAATTGAAGAGATCCAGTGAACATGTGTAAAATAAAAAGAACTTGCCCTAGGAGAGCTGATATTGTCTTGTGGTCATGAATACTTGTTCGCTGAACACAAAGAAATGCACTAATGCCGCTCATACAAGTACGAAAAGCGCTTAAAGGATGAAAAACCTATTGACGAAGATTTTCAAAGAGCGTCTCAAAACAAATAAATAAGCGTTTACAATGAGTGCCACCCAGTGCAACACACTCAACATGGATGGCATCAAAAATCGTGAAGAACAGTTTTATGAGAGTCTACAACCCATCTCAGAGAGCTGCGAAATAAAAAAGCCAACCATCTTGATAAGCGATCTGAACGTCAGAACCCCTCAGAAAATACTGGGTACGAAGACATTATGGACCTTAACAATGGGACGATGAGGGATAGAAACTTACGAGTACTCGTGATTTGAACAACATAGTTATAGGTGGCACCATTTCCCCCCACTAGCACACGAGCAAGGTCATATAGGCTCTTTTGAACCATCCTAAAGCAAACCAGATGAATTACAACTGCATAATAAAAAACTCGGGAGATCAATCAAGGGTGTATGAACAAGAGGGAATCTGACAGAGCTTCAGTTCATCACCATTTAGTAGACAAGCTAAACTTAGGGTAACTTAGTACTGGAAAACTTTTTAAACATCACCAAAAATATTTTATGCAGCCTTTCTTCCAGATATTGATAAGCTTTTCGAATTCAAGATTCTTCTCAATAACGAGTTTTAAGCCCTTCAAGGTTTGCCATGAGAAGAGAAGATTAACAGGAAAAACAACTGCAAAGGAATTCAACAGCCACGCACCTTAAAATCCCATCAAGTGCTGGACAGCATGAAGTACCAGCATAAATAATGGATATGTATGGATATCCCGGTCAAGATCCAAGAGATGTAAACAAGCAAACAGTAGTCAACAACAGTCAAAAATAAGATAAGTCACGGAGTGAATTGGCAGAAACAAACAAATGAGTGAAAACAAGTGATAGAGCTGACAATAAGAAACTTGTAGAAGGTACGGTAAGAACAGTAAAAGTTCTAAAAGAAAAAAATACGATGAACTTTGTAACGCAACCAAAACGTTTGAACGAAAATATAGTAAACCGTAATGGTTAGTCGAGACAAGAAGGACAGATCAACATCTCCAGTTCAGCTGCAGCGAAATAGTTGAATAAAGCGCGATACTCACCTGATACCGAAGCAGCAAATGCAATCGCCTAACTGATGACACCACACCGATAGTTAGAGAAATTACCAAACACATCAGAAAAACTAATAATAGCAAGGTAGCAAGTACAGACGGTATATCAACTGAAGTACTGAAGTCAGATATGCAAATAACTTCAAACACACTGTGCCTAATTAAAACGATTTAGGGGAAGGAATAAACACTAGCAGTCTGAAAAGTGGAATATCTCGCCAAGATAACAAGGAGATGAGAGTTTATTAGCTTTGAGAATCACAGTGGCGTCATACATCTGTCTGCTTCAGGTAAATTCTTCAACACGATATACTGGCTGGATGAAAAACAGAGGATTATTAATAACTTATTCTCAAATAACACTGTGTTACACAAGGTATGCCAGCTCGCATGCAAGATCAAATTGTTACGAATACTATGAGATTTACTGCGACACGTTCCTCAGTTTGGTTGACATGTTATATGACAGTGGTCGTAGAACCAGGGGGATAAATTTTCGTACATTAGGATGTGGATGTTAGTACGATTCGAATGTTTATTACAAGAGTTGGTGCACTTCATGGAGGTTGCATCGTGACGAACAACTGGTAGATGAGAATGAATGTGGGTAACGTCTAGAGCAGTTTTGTACAGGTAGCGCGGTAATTGTATAACCGGCCAACCAAAAACGTCAAATTCAAAGTGTTATTTCATGCTTCTTGGTAGGTAAATATCAGAGGTACCGATTTAGGCTTAGGACGAAGTTATATGTTCCACATTTGCGCCTTCTGTGGTTTACAAAGTTGGTGCTATAAAAGAGAGGGAATAGAAAAAGGGCAAGAAACGGGATGGATGGCGCACGAATGGCGAAGTTTTGTAATGTTCAGTTGAGTTGTAACAGCATAGGTTGGTTGGTTAAGAGTTGACCCCAAACAACCAAGCATATGTCAAAACAGTATTGTTCAAGTATTCATTCACTTCCTTATTTTGTATAAGCGTTATATTCCTTATTATCTTATATTGAATGTTGAAAGCTTTTGTTTGTCTGAACAGATAATCCGACGCT